GTTTTAGGCTCCATGACAGATTTGGTCTAGCTGACGCATCGAGCAATGCTTTCGAGGCCAATGAGTATTTGCGGATATTACTTATTGTATTGCATCGTTCTTCTGTACTGGATTTTCTTATTAAAACTCAGTACCACCTTAAGAGTTTTTATCCTTTTCGGGCGTGTTCCGCGTGTGTGAGAGTGTATGAGTGATTCGAGAGAGAACGTCCGGAGGACGTAACAATATGTTAAGGAAAATGGAAAATTATATGGATAAGAAAAGATTAGAAGTGAATGTGAATAAGACAAAAATAATGAGTATTAGATTGTTGAACTTAGAAATTAAAGATTTAAATTATAACATAAAGTTCTTACATTCCAACTTTATAACATCGAAAAAGGATGTCTGACTTACTTCCACGTACTTTAATTGACAGATTTTTGAACTTAATCAACATAAATTATTTATTTTAATAAAACGAAAAGGATAACGCGATTAAAAGTTCAATAATAGAATACTGTTTGAAACGCATAATAGAAACTACAGGTGTAATAAAATATTATATCTTAAATAGAATATTCTAGAATATTCGCTTCCGATCGCAAATCAACAGGCATATCGTTTTTATATGTTTTTTTTGGAAAACATATCGCGACACAAATTATCCTGTCGTACAAAAACACGCTCGAAATATAAACAATTAACGGTGTCGCAACCGTTCCGCCGAATAATTATATTTTATTGAGCATGCGCGGCTTCTCACGGGCGCCTCGTTTCGCCAATAATCATCGTGATCGCCAGCTCGCGCATGCTTTCTAACAGCCGTTGTTCTGTCAATTTTGACAGCGGCCAATTACGCGTAATACGCTCAGGTCACCTCGCGCAACTTTAAAAAGACGCAAAATTATTGGCGCTTTACACGAAGGTGGGTTCCGCTCCGGAAATTATAAAAGAGGAGCTCACACCCCGCTTGGGAGCTTTATCGCTTTTCCGTCGTGAAAACATATCGCAAACCGCTTATCAGATACACCGCAAAATTCGTTGACGACCGCCGCTATTCCGCACTTTGATTTTGATTCCGATTTCACTGTAAAATAATTAAAGTTTTGTAATAAGTTTGTTATAGTATTTTGTCAATACGTGTGATATTATTAAAGTCCTTGTTTTACAAAAAGTGACTCATCCTTTCGTGCAGCGCGATCCTTTGCTCACGCAGCGCGTTCGTGAACATATTTTGGTCCTTCGAGCCGGATCCGTCGCACCGGCAACCGCAAGTTCGCGAGCGTGGCTTCGCGTGAGTGACAGTAGTGCAGTTTCGTGTGCAGTCATCATGGATGTACCCACGCTGGTTGACTGTCAGCGTGAGCTTCAAGTCCGCATCTCACGTTCTGTGGAGTACTTGAAGAAGCTGGGCAGCTCCAATATCACCGCCAGTGCTATCTCCACACGCACCAGAATTCTGGATCAGCTGTGGACAAAGTTCGAGGCGCAGCATGACCTTATCCGTGCGGCCTTGAAGGAAAGGTTCAGTGAGAGCGAGTACTTTAAATCAGAGTTGCATGCTGATACGGAGAATCTCTACGTGTCACAAAGAAGCATACTAGACAGCTACGCTGAACACTATCGTGCAGCAAACGTACCTCCTTCTGCCGACGCCACGTCAAGGTCATCACTGCCGCGTATCAAAGTGCCGCCATTTTCTGGTGCCTACGCCGATTGGCCGTCGTTCCGAGATCTCTTTCTCTCCGTCGTGAGTGGCAATGCGATCTCCAACATCGAGCGCTTTCACCACCTGCGCTCATGTCTGACGGGGCAAGCTGAAAGGTTAATAAGGTCATTGCCTGTCACCAGCGACAATTACGATCGCGCTTGGGCGATTCTGGACAAACACTACAACAACAAAAAGGAATTGATCCGCTCCAACTTCGCCACGTTCATCGCCGTGCCGAAGATGAAGGGAGATACCGCAGAAGAATTGAGACGCATTCACAACGCCGTGACTGCCGCCGTCAATGGTCAGGAGAGCATCGGACGTCCAATCAACACCCACGGAATGGACCTCTTCAACTTCCTGGTCACCGAGCTGTTTGATGCACGCACACGTCTTGAGTGGGAGTCGTCCACGTCAGACTCATCAGAGCCGGCACAAAACGAGGCACTTGTGGACTTCATCAGCCGTCGGATCCTGACGCTCAATGCCGCACGACCGAAGAGCGCCAGCAAACCGCCCGGAGATGCTCCACGGGTAGCCAAGGCACACGTCACGAAGCACCAAGGAACCGAGTCGCCGCACTGTGCCCTGTGTCGCGAGAAGCACACCTTGATGACCTGCCGAGATTTCAAGGCCAAGACTGTCAACGACCGCAAGGCATTTGTCGAGAGTAACAGGCTCTGTTACAATTGCTTAGGCAACCATTTTCTCTCTCGCTGCCAGTCAAAGAAGAACTGTCTGACATGCGACGCACGACACCACACGATGTTACACGGAGCACCCACATCGTCAGCGTCAACTGAAGCCACACGCGCCACCACACTGACCGCTACGCTGCAAAATCCAGAGTGCAAGGCCGTTCTTCTTGCAACAGCACGAATAAACGTCGCCGATCGGTACGGATCACCACAAGCCGTACGCGCGTTGATCGACCAATGTTCTGAGGTGTCGATCATTTCGGAGACCTTGGCACAACGTCTTCGCCTTCCTCGAGCCTCAACGGGCCTCTCCATTTTCGGCATCGGAGGGACTCGCTCGGGATCCGCTCGTGGCAAGGTCACGCTGCACGTAACGTCAGACGTGACCAACGCCAAACTCAGCGTGGTGGCCTTTGTGCTGCCCCGCATATCGCTGCAGCAAGGCTCGGTTTCGCGGGAAGAACGCAGCTGGCCTCATCTCAACGGACTCCAACTGGCCGATCCTCGCTTCTTAGACGACGACCCAGCTGAGCTGCTACTGGGAGCCGAGGTCTATTCCTTGATCCTCGAGGAAGGCCTCCGCAAGGGTGAATCAAGGATGCCGATCGCTCAGCAAACCAGCCTGGGATGGATCCTCTCTGGCGGCTACGACGCAGCAGCAGTCACGGGACATCGCCGCACCTTCCGGTGCACCGCCGATCATGACCTCGCCGACTTCGTTCGACGCTTCTGGGAGCAGGAGAGCGAGCCGATAACTCGGGCTTCACTCACTCCCGACGAGACCAAGTGCGAGGAACTCTACGTGCGCACCGTCACGCGCACGCCCACCGGGAGATACATGGTGAGGCTGCCCTTCTCATCGCCGCCGACGACTCTTCAGGATACTCGCCGCCCAGCGGAGCGCCTACTGAAAGCCATGGAGACCAAGGGCAGCCGAGATCTTCGATTTGGCGACCTCTATCACGGCTTCATGCAGGAATACGAGGACCTGCAACACATGAAGAAGGTAAATACCTCAACAACAACGGAGAATTTCAGATGCTACTTACCGCATCACGGGGTCCTGAAGGAATCGAGCACGACGACAAAGCTCCGAGTCGTGTTCAACGGCTCTCAGCGCACACGGGCCGGTACTTCGCTCAACTCGCAGCTGCTGACTGGGGCAAACCTTCTGCCAGCGCTCACCGACGTGTTGCTGCGATGGCGTTGGCACCGGTACGTCTTCGTCACCGACATCGAGAAGATGTACCGCCAAATCCTCGTACATCCTGAGGACTGCCGTCTCCAAACAATCTTGTGGCGTCACAACAAGACGGACGAGATCGGAGAGTACGAGCTGCAGACGGTGACCTACGGCATGGCGTGTGCACCGTTCCTGGCCATCCGAACTCTGCAACAACTTTGTGCGGACGAGGGAGCGCAGTTTCCTCAAGGTGCCACAGTACTTCGGCTTGATTGCTACGTCGACGACGTGGTCACCGGCGCGGACAACCTCGACGATGCCGTCAACCTCCAGACGGAGCTGCGCAACCTCTGCATGGCGGGCGGATTTCCACTGAGGAAGTGGGCCTCGAACCATCCAGAGGTCCTCACAGGAGTCCCACAGGAGCATCGGCTGCAGCAAGGACCACATTCCTGGGAAGGAGAGAGCCATTCGACATTGGGCCTGCGATGGCGTCCTCAGGATGACCGGTTTGCCTTCGCAATACATCCTCGGCCAGTCAGCAAATTCACGAAGCGACGAGTCCTCTCCGAAACTGCACGCCTATTCGACCCGATGGGCTGGCTCGCGCCTGTCGTCATTCGGGCGAAGATCCTAATCCAAAGCACCTGGCTTCAGCAACTTGATTGGACGCTCCACTGCCGGCCAAGGATGCTCGACATTGGCAACAGCTGTTGGATCAGTTGCCGCTGCTCAGGCACATACGCGTGAATCGCTGGCTCAGCACCGACAACGATCACTCGAGGTTGCAGCTCCACGGTTTTGCTGATGCTTCCGAACGAGGATACGCCGCAGTAGTCTACCTCCGCACCACTGAAAGGGGAAAACCGTCAATTAATCTACTCATGGCGAAATCCAAGGTCGCACCCGTCAAGCAGGTTTCGTTGCCGCGACTTGAGTTGTGCGCTGCTAGCCTACTCACCACGCTCACGCTGCATGTCCGCGACATTCTCGGCTTGGCAACTACTCCAGTATATCTGTGGTCCGATTCCCAGGTCACGCTTCATTGGATCCAGGGACACGCCACTCGCTGGAAAACTTTCGTCGCCAACCGGGTAGCTCATATCCAGACACAGCTCCCGGACGCTCGATGGAGACACGTAGCCGGGAAGAATAATCCTGCAGACTGCGCATCGAGAGGAATTACTCCTGGAGAATTAATCAACCACGCATTATGGTGGACTGGACCTACCTGGTTGGCACTGGACGAGACAGCATGGCCCAGCTCAGAGGTCCACATCGCAGAGGATGACCTTCCTGAACAGCGCACCACCAGCCTGATGACCAAGGGCTCCGTCGTCGTCGAACCGGACATCCTTCTTCGGTTCTCTGCGCTTCATCGGCTGCTACGCGTTACGGCTTGGTGTCGTCGATGGCTCAACGTGGCGAGCCGGGAGGTCACACCTGGTTGTCCACTACACCCCGACGAGCTGGACGCCGCCCTACTCCAGTGGCTTCGAGTAGTACAGGCGCTCCACTTCCCGGACGAGATAGCTGCTGCCACCGCAGGACGCTCCGGCCCACCACGCAGTTCACTGATCAAGCTGAATCCGTTCATCGACGACCAAGGTGTACTGCGCGTTGGAGGACGTCTCAAACACGCACTGCTGCCCTACGACGAGAAGCACCCGGTGATCATACCGCCGGCCTCCTGGATGACGCGACTGCTGATCGAGTCCTGCCATCGTCGCTCTCTGCACGGCGGCGTCCAGATGACACTCGGTCTGCTTCGCCTTCGGTTCTGGGTACCACGCGGAAGGACCGTCGTCAAGCAGCAACTGCATCGGTGCGTCACTTGCACTCGCTGGCGCGCTGCCACGCCACAGCCTCCAATGGGCCACCTTCCTCGGGACCGAGTGACGCCAACTCGACCTTTCTTGAGCACTGGACTGGACTACGCGGGACCAATTTCCATCCGGACCAGCAAAGGACGCGGACACCGCTCACAGAAAGGATACATCGCGGTCTTCGTCTGCTTTTGGTCGAAGGCCATCCACCTCGAGGTCGTCTCGGATTACAGCTCCGAGGCCTTCATCGCCGCCTTACGCCGCTTCGTCTCTCGCAGAGGACTGTGTACGGACGTCTACAGCGACTGCGGCACAACATTCGTTGGCGCCGATCGCACCCTGCGGGAGCTCTTCAAGGCGTCGACCTCCGAGGGCCTTCACATCGCCCGCGCCGCCAACACTCAAGGGATCCGCTGGCATTTTAATCCGCCAGCGGCCCCTCACTTCGGTGGTCTTTGGGAGGCTGCCGTGAAATCCACTAAATTTCACCTCCGCCGAGTAATCGGCGACACCACGCTCACTTTTGAGGAGCTTAACACACTCCTCACACAAATCGAGGCGTGTCTTAATTCTCGTCCGTTGCAGGCTCTGTCAGACGATCCAGACGACACTTCAGCACTCACTCCAGGGCACTTCATCATCGGCGCGCCTCTATTAGCTATACCTGAGCCGTCACGGATCGGACAATCATCATCCACGCTGTCACGCTGGCATCACCTGCAGCTGATGCGAGACCATTTTTGGCAGCGGTGGTCGGCTGAGTACGTGCACGGGCTCAACCCCGCACCAAATGGGTCAAGGCCGAGGCCGCACCTCACGTCGGGGACCTTTGCATCATCCGCTCGGAGCTCACCCCTCCGACTCGATGGCCTCTTGCAAGGATCACGAGACTGCATCCCGGGGACGACGGTGTCGTCCGCGTGGTCTCAGTACGCACCGCCACATCCGAATTCGTACGCCCGATCATTAAATTGGTCATGCTCCCGGGCGCGGATCGTATTCCGGACACGAATAACGCGGACACGCCGTCCGCCGGCACGTAACACATCACTCATCAACGTTCGACACTCATTCACGAGATTTATCACATCATACACTGTATCATTTGTCACACCTCACTCTCATCATGCACCACCGCACTTGCAATTGTTCCATAATCACCACACTGCACTACACGTTCGTCATTTCACATCAAACACACACTCGTTACTGTCTCAGCTGATCATCACATTCCACGCGATCACCACGTGTTTCCGCGGCTCAGCTGATCGATTCAAATTACACGCGATCATCACGTGAATCTCGCCGCGCCGGCGCGCCTGCCCCACCATCGATCACTATCGACTTGCGATTCCGCGACCGAAATACCACAAACATGTTGTCACTGCGCGACAAGGCGGGCGGGAATGTTTGAAACGCATAATAGAAACTACAGGTGTAATAAAATATTATATCTTAAATAGAATATTCTAGAATATTCGCTTCCGATCGCAAATCAACAGGCATATCGTTTTTATATGTTTTTTTTTGGAAAACATATCGCGACACAAATTATCCTGTCGTACAAAAACACGCTCGAAATATAAACAATTAACGGTGTCGCAACCGTTCCGCCGAATAATTATATTTTATTGAGCATGCGCGGCTTCTCACGGGCGCCTCGTTTCGCCAATAATCATCGTGATCGCCAGCTCGCGCATGCTTTCTAACAGCCGTTGTTCTGTCAATTTTGACAGCAGCCAATTACGCGTAATACGCTTAGGTCACCTCGCGCAACTTTAAAAGACGCGAAATTATTGGCGCTTCACACTAAATTATAAAAGCTGGGCTTAAAATTCGCTAAGATTTAGAATTCACTGTAAAATAATGCGACAAAAAGTGACTCAACGCGATCTTTGCTCAAAGCGCGTAACTAATCGAAATGGATTTCTTAGCAAAAAGACAACACTAACATATCGATATAGCTAAGAACCTAGAAATTACATTATAAACAAGAACGAGTAACTAAACATATGTTTCTTATAGCTACATAGATAGATACATTACAACTCTAAACAATGTCATAGTTATCTACGTGATAACGATGACATTTTAGTTACGACAGCCGATAAGAGTCAAACTACAGTTATTATGGACAAAAAAGATTATATTGACAAAATGAATGTTTCACTGAGTGATCAATGTACATATACTAAACTGAAAAAGATCCGTTCAAGAAAGTTTCGGTAGAATCAATTCTTTAATCAAATCATGGCGAGATAATAAATTGATTGATGAAATGACATATAAACGTCTTAATACCACGAATGGGAACCTTCCTCGATGTTACGGTCTACCGAAAATTCACAAAGTTAACGCGCCTTTACGTATAATTGTTTCGTCACTTGGGAGCCCGGTGTACAGTATAGCGCGTTTTTACATGATATATTGGAACGATCAGTTACGAAACCTACCTCACATATAAAGACGGTTGGACGTTCGCGAATAAAATCAAGAATTTGAGTATTGAAGATAATGAAATGTTAATTTCTCTTGACGTCACATCTTTATTCACAAACATTCCTAAGGAATTAGTTTTAAAAGCTATTAAAAACGTTGGAGAGATATTTCATGTAACACAAATTTTAGTTTAACACAATTTTTATATGGAATCGACGCTGTATTAGAATCTACTAGTTTTCGTTTCAACGATCAATTTTATGAACAGATACATGGTACGCCAATGGGATCCCCCTTTAACCTATTTTAGCAGACTTAGTTATGGCTGATCTTGAGACAGAATGTTTAAGCTCTTTACAATTTGACATTTAGTTTATTATAGGTACGTTGATGATATTTTTGCAATAGTACCACGCAATAAAATTGATAACATTTTGACTACGTTTAATAAATACCATCACCGTTTGCAATTTCCACATGAAACAGAGATAAATAACAAGATTAACTTTCTGGATACATTGGTTTTTAGAAACAATGGTAAACTATTGACTAGTTGGTACCAGAAACCCACCTTCTCTGGTAGATATTTAAACTACCATTCTAACCATCCGTTTAAATACAAAGTTAACACCATTAATAACTTAGTCGACCACGCTATTTTGTTATCGGATACACGATTTCATAATGAGAACTTACAGATGGTTAAAAAAATCTTGTTGAATAATTGTTTCCCTAGGACGGTCATTGAGCGATATATGTATAAAAGAACATGTTTTTTAGAAAATTCTCATAACGTAGTTGACAAAAATAATGTATTTGATATTTCGTCTTGTATTTTAATGCCGTATGTTAAGAACCTAAGTAAGACTATTGAGAGATCTATTAAGAAAACAGGCTTAAGTGTTATTTATACGATTCCAAAAAAACTTGATACGTTTATTAAACCCCGAAAAGACAAATTACCTAAAGCCGATATGACCGAGATAGTTTATAAAGTTGACTGCAATGACTGTGACGCCACATACATCGGACAAACTAAAAGACACCTTAATACTCGGATTAAAGAACACATGAATAATATAAAAATGCATGTCAGCAACCAAAATGTTATAAGCAAACATAGAAATGATTTTTCGCATGACTTTAAATGGACAAACTTAAATATTTTACATCGAGAAACAAACACTAGGAAAAGAGAGATTGCTGAAATGTTTTTTATAAAAAAATTTAATAACACGATCAACCTACAGAAAGACACAGAGAATTTGAATCCGATCTATGATAGAATAATCAAAGCTGTTTAACTTAGTTCGTCTTTACCATCCATACTGAACGTTTACGTGACACAGTATTTATATTGAAATATGTAAAATGAAAAAAATTAATTATATATTGCACTAAAGAATTTGTAAGGTACGTTTAAATTGTTATTATAATCTTGGTTTGCGCTTTACTTTCTTAAAAATCGAAATTCTTGTATGTACATCTATTGTATTTTTTAATGTTAATTTTAGACTTGATAAGGACCTAAACCTAAGGTCGAAACGTTGTCTTTTCTTGTATATGGCATCAAACTAATAATAATAAAAATTAATTTAAGCCAGTTGGGTCGTCTCACAGTTATTTTTAAAAATATGAGGTTTAAAAGGGAGGAAGAATGAAGAAAGTTGAGTGGAGGTGGAAAGGAAAAGATTAGAGGAAGTGAAGGAATTCACTTATTTAAGATATAAGTTGCAAAGGAATGGGGAACAGGAGGCACAGGTAAAGGACAGAGTAAGGAAAGCAGGAGCGTGATAAGACAGATGTGGGGAATGGGGAAAAGAAGATTGCAGGAGATTGGATGAAAAGATTATGGCTAATGGAAAGGTTGGTGGGAACGGTGTTGAAATAGGGGGTGGGGGAAGAAGAAGAGGAGGCAAATAGAGGCAATGCAGGAAAGATGGATTAGGTGGACGTTAGGAATGAACTGGTGTACGCCGGGGTACATAGTAAGAGAGGAGATAAGATAGGATAAGGGCAGGAAGGAGAGTAATAGGGTACGAGAAGAAATTGGAGGAAGGAATGAGAGGAAGTTTAGGCGAGGAAATGCTATGAGGATATGAAAAAGGGGGTAGAGAAAAAGAAGAAGAAAACGGTTTGGGAGGAAGAG